CAATTTTGACATGATACAGTGAGCTTCCAATTACTACCTGCTCACTCGCAGGAGGAGGATGAGTGTGGGAAAGATGGACCTCTTCTCTCTCCTCTTTCACCAAATAACTGAATATGGGGACAAACTTGAGAAAATATTGAGCAGAGAACAGAGGGAAAAGTTGTTTGAAAATAGGGGGAAATATTTCTGTTATATCTTTGTTAAATTATTAGTTAAGACCAGTGCTACTTAATGAAAATATAAAGTGAATCATATCCATGATTTAAATTTTCTATTAGGCCACAGTAAAACAAATTAAGAGGCTATGAGTAGGTGATTAATTTAATGTTTCATTTAAAAATATATCTAAAATATTATAACAACATACTATCGAAATAAAAATCAAGAGAGTTTTTCTTTATTGTGTGGGGGTACAAGGTTTTTGAGATCCAAGGTGTGTTTTACACTTGCAGCATACCTCAGCTTGGATTAACTACATATCAAGTGTTCCACAGGCACACGTGTGATGGCTAGTGTACTCAGGAGGGCAGCTCTAGACACACTAACTGAAATTTGAGAAATCAGATAGGAATCACTGTCAACAATTAACTACCTGATATGCTTTTGTATTTTCCTTCTGTTGGTGCTCCATCTCCCAAAAGAGATTATCTCAAAGGACACATGCTGTGTTAGCAAACCAAAAATCCAGGGCACATATCCATTGCCATACATCTGTGCATTTCCCTTTATGTAGGGTGTCCTTTCTCCTCCTCTCTTTTTTGTCTTTGCCCTAACATTCTACCCTTCAATGCCCAACTTTTATCCAATCTCTCTCAATGTGCCTTACTGCTTGTAGCATGCTGCCCCCTGGAATCTCAAAGCTTTAATTGTACCATTCATGTGACACTCAGAATGTCCTCTTATGAAGGGATTCTAATATCAGCTTTGTAACCTTGGACCAGCTGCTTTACCTCTATGAGTCTCAGTTGTTTCAATGATAAAGTCAAGATGAAAGTAGCAAGCTCATCAGATCGCTGGGCAGATTAAATAAGACAGGTATGAGGTGCACAGCACAGCCTAGAATCGTATAATAAGCATTCGAACAATAATTCCCCTGTATTACATCCCAAATGTTTTCTAAAGGGCCTACCTTTAGATATGAGGCTCTACTGCTTCCCTCATTCCACTTCAGTCTTCTCTTGCAATTTCTTCTGTTAAGGCAGCCCTTTCCCTAGATCTTCATAGGGCAGGTATTTTTTTTTCTTAATTCAAATTTAGGTTTTAAGGGTCACCTTCTTAAGAGAGTCTTCTCTGACTTCCTCTTTAAAGTTTTCCCCTAGCCCCAATACTCTCTAGCCCCCAGCCTCTATTTTCTTCATAGCATGTATCAATATCTGGAATAATCTTTATGTGTTTGTTCCCCTGCCTTTTATCTTTTGCTCTGTCATACCAAGAAGCTCCACAAAAGGTGGGACTCTTCTGTCTTATTTGTACTGTCAAATGCCCAGCACACAACAGAATTCAGCAAGTGTTTGCTGAATAAATGAGTGAAAAAATCACTAACACAAGAAAGTAAATATAAATAGTATGATTCTAAAGGTGGTAAAGAATGGAGCTTATTTTTTTTTTTTAACCTATAAGGATGACCCAGGAAGTCGGTGGTAGAGAGCTGCCTTATCTATCAGATGGGCTTGGAAGGGGTCAGGAAAGTTATTCTCCTAACTTGCTACCTGTTAATATGTGTCATGAACAAAGTATATATTTGCACCACTTAAAACCACTCACCACATTGGTTTACTTGTGCTTTTAAGAATAATCCAAGGCCAGGTGTGGTAGCACATGCCTAGAATCCCAGGACTCAGGAGGCTGAAGTAGCAGGATCACTGCAAGTTTGAGGCCAGCCTGGGCTACATAGTGAGTTGAAGGCCAGCCTGAACTACACAGAGAGACATGAATAATCCAAATCCAATTTGTCACAATGCAGTTTTCTGATATCAGAGAAGCTGGTAGCACTGGGTATAATGGAAAAGGGGTGAGGTCCAAGTCTGACAAATCTAGACTTGAATCCCAGGCTCAAAAAGTATACAAGGCAAATTCTGTAATAGTCTCTAATGCACACTTTCCTTATCAGTGAAGCTTTAAATGATTACTCATTCTCTGCAATGTTGTTACGAAATTTAATTGAGGTAATATAGGAAAGTTCACCTTCAAGGCTCAATGAATAATAGCTATCAGTATTATCATTTTGCACACGAGAATATCTATCCAGATTATGCTGATCAATCTTTGCAATTTTTTCTAAGGTTCTGATATTTCTTTCCCACATTTCCTTGTCATGTAACCACTTGTGACTGAGCAGCCAGGATTCCAGAGAGTGACAGAGAGAGACAGAAGCAGTGAGAATGAACTGAATTTCAAGTCAAATCTATGCCAAACAGCGAAAGATAACAACATAGACCTCTTTACAAGGACAGTTTCTGGTACATTGGAGATGGACCTGTGCATGAGACTTGCTTACATGCCCAGCTTTTTGTAGTTACAGGCACAAATAGTGAATCTGTGTTTAAGATTATGGGCTAAAAGACAACAAACAGAAGGGTAGAGAATCCATCAGTCTGGTAATATTTTAGTTGTTGGCAAAACAGAGTGCTTGACCCGGCACGGTTGAAGAAATAACAGGACCCTGTAATCTGAACCCTCACTCACTCATCTTTGAGAGTAATCAGACTAGACCTGATTTCACTCCTTCTGCTAATACAAGCCCTGAAGAAGAGAAAGCTACTCTAAAACGTTTAGACCATTGGACACTTAATTAAATCTCTCATTAATATTAATAGTGGAAAGTCATCACTGACTCTGGGTCAGGCATGACACGAACAGTATTTCTAATTACTCAACAACTGTACAAGAATGTTGCATTGTTCCTCGTTTTGCAGACAGAGAAAGTAAGGCTCAGGAAGATTCAATGGGTTGCAAAAATGTAGAAGCCCTGATCTGAAGCACAGTATGCTGGGTTCCAAAACCCTGTGTGTTTACCAGTTCATATACCAGAGCTACGTCTTGCTGGCAACACCAGTGGAAAACTTAGGACCCCACAAGATATGAACCTATAGTCCCTTAAAGACAAAGTACAGAGATCCCAATGCAGCCCATTACCTATACTGTGCATTGAGGCAGCAAGTCATACTTGGTTTTCAAATAAAATCCTGGCCTTTCAAATAAAATCCTGTCTGTGCTAGCTGGGTGACCTGGACAGTGCTCTTTCATTTGGACAGTGACCCTCTTTGGATGGTTCTCCAGTGTTGTCTGTAGGACTAAAACATCCAGAGGTAAGGATGTTGCCTTAGGCAAGTTTTTGGAAGACTTATGAGGAGAGGTCTGCATGGGACAAAGACTGGCGAACCCCTGAACTGCCTGGGGACTACACCAGGAGGGAAGGCTGTCTCCTTCAGCAGTATGGTTGACCCCTCTGAGAAGGCTTGCGAGTTACTCCTGTAGTTATCCCAACTGCTGTTAGGGGCTTGGCTGGGAGACCCTGATGCAGGTCCCTAAAGACAGTGGATTTTCACCTGCAGTGCAGGTCTGGTGTGCAGAGGTATCTACCAGCCCTCAGGGATTGCATGTAAAATTTGCCTGCATTCCATAAGAAGCCCTCACCCCACGGGGAGAAAACTCAACAGCTAATTCTTAAAAGTGCTTACAACCCCTACTTTTTAATTTTTAAAAAAATTTAAAATTTTTATCAGTACATGTTTGCAGGACATAATGCTTACATTCACTGTGGGGAACTGAAACACGTACATAGCACCTTCTAGCTCTTTTTACTTCTTCCTTTCCTCGCCCTCCTCCCTCCCTCTCTTCGTCCCCTTCCCATGTGCAAATGATCTATCTCCCTGGGCCCTCACTTTTAAAAACCACTAAAATTAAAATTTTCATCCGTTTATTTTCCCTTGCAATGTACAGCACATTTACCCCGTTACATTTCTCTGAATTTTGCCCAGTAAACTGAGGCCCAGAGAATGTAAGTGTCTTGCCCAAGGTTGCACAGCCAAGGGACAGAGCTATGTGATCAGTAGCACTCCGCTGGTCAGCAGACTGAGGTGGGAAATCCTTACTAGTCAACCCTTTGAATGAAGGCAAAAGGATCCGTCCAGATTAATAATAACGTTTGCAACCATTTTCAAGTCCCATCACAGAAAAGCCTAAATTGCTTCTTTACGAGGGAAATGCGGATTGCTTCTCCGGGATATGGGTAGAAGTCATTAAAAGGGTATTTTCCTAGTCCCGGAGCCGAACTCTAGCCCTAGCCTTCCCTCTGCGCGGCCGCCTGGCTTCCCCGTGCGGAGTTTGCCGGTTCTCCTTCCCGCTTCCGCCGGGCTGCGTTCCCAGCGCGCGGTGTAGCTCGGGGCTGGGGATTTAGCTCAGTGGCACAGCGCTTGCCTGGCAAGCGCGAGGTCGTGAGTTCGGTTCCCGGTACAGAAAAAAAAAAACCCAAAAACCAGAGGAGGCTGCTCGCCCGCACGGCCCGCACCCGGAGGTGAGGGTGCGGGGCAGCCACACCGCTGGGGTCAGCGCAGGTGACCCTAAACTTTCCCCGCCGTGCGGGTGCCCGTGCGGGGCTGTGGCGGCGGTGGAGGAGGGAGACCCCCGAGCTGGCCGTCCTCGCACCACCTGTCGGAGCCCCTGCCCGCTGCCCGCTCGGTCGCTATGTCCCCACTTTTCATGTGGACATAAACAATGCACCTTCCGAGAACCTCGCGATCAGGCCGAAACTCGCCCTAAGGGCGCACTTGCGGGTGCGGGCGCGGGGTGACGAGCACCTTAGCGGTCTTCGGGTCAGGCACCCCGAGGCCGGCTGCGGTCACAGCGCGGAATTCCCGCGGCCGCGGCTGCGGTTCCCTCCGCCGCTCCCCCAGCAGCCCGCGTCGCCGCCACGCTCGCTTCAGACCCGCGCGGGCCTCGAACCCGCAGCCGGGACCGCGCCCGCCTGCCCGCCCAGCTCCAGCCCGCCGGGTGCTCACCTGTGCCGCCGAGCGAAGTCTGCCCTCTCACGCCGGGAGCGCTGGCCGCACGGGGACGCGGCCACCCATGGTGTGTCGCGCTGTTTCCTGGACAGCCGGTACAATCCAGAAAGCGGGAGCGCAGCTGAGTAAAACAGAGAAAGGAAGGCGGGGAAAGCCCAGCCCAGAAGATGGGGCGCCTGGGGGTGGCAGCCTCCGCTCCCGCGTCCCCAGCCCGGGTGCCTCTGAGAAGCTGCGCTCGGCGCACTTGTTCACTCTTTCTTCATTTGAGGAGGAGTCACTGTTACAACATTTCTGTTCCTTGCTGGAGGCAAAACAGTGATTTCTCTCCAGCGTGCAAAACGTCCAGAGCCTGCCAGTTTCGCAAGGTGACAGAGGCAGCTGGGGGAGCGGGAACGCGGAGAAGACGCGAAGAAATCGCCGGTTCTCCCTGGGTCGGCTTGGCGTGGTCAGGGGCTTACACCTGCCATTGAAACTGCACCAAAAAATAGATAGAACAATAATAAAAATGTCGAGTGACTTCAAAGGTAGTATTTTCCAGGCAGTCAGGCGTGGGGCTTTGGTGTCAAAATTCTTTCCTTATTTCTGAACAATCCTGAGCCGCAGCTTGACCATACTTGAGGAGGGCTGCAGGAGTTCCAACCTCACCTTCCAGGAAAAGGAGGCGACAAAAACGGGGCAAAGGAAACAGCGACCCAAAAAGGTTTTGCTTTCTTTTTTAATACCCAAGTCAAAACTTCTAAGGTGCTGGGTTTTTAACTTTGCCACATCAAAATAATACCGAAACAGGTAGCACCTACGTAACCTGCACTTCTATTGTTTTCCACAGATGTAGAACTTACCTTTTCTAGTAGGGGGTCTACGTTCTGAATTTTATTTCAATTTTGATAGTAACCCACACACAACTACCACCACTTTTTCTCTTGCAAAGGAAAAAAAACATGGCAACAAATACTGCCTGAATCAAATAAATAGTTACCCTGAGTTAGTACTTTGCTAGCATCTGATGCCATTCGTTAATAGTACATCTAACTGTTACATAACCCAAAGAGCCACCAAGGACTTATTTTAAACAAAGGCTATTGAGTTTCAAGAAAAGTTATTGGAACACTGGGCTTTTCATTTTTGATTTGACTACCACGTTACAATAACTGGCAAGTCACATTCAGCAGCGGCTACCTGCCAAACCTCAGGAAGCTATGAAAATCCCGTGATGCTTTGGTGATCTTTTTGGATTGGAATCGCAGAGGCACCGACATAGACATAGTAACCTGACCCTTCCAGTTCAGTCACTTGCCCTTCTACACTTTAAGCTTCAGATTCTCTAGTTTTCTTGGAGGATGAGAGCTGGCTGTTTCATGCACAGCCTGCGCATGCTTTCTGCAATAACGGAGCTATATTTACTTTTGCTTATGAGTGTGAATAAAGGCGTACAATTCACTTATTTTCAGAACCAGTGTGTGACATCTTCAGCGGCAGAGTACATACACCTCTGGATATAATAGTGAGGTTATATCCCTGTAAACCCATTATTAACTTGAAAATATTTGAGGTCAAAAATGCATTTGTTGAACATCATAGCTTAGCCTACCCTGCCTTAAACACACTCAGATGCTCACATTAGCCTACCTTTGGACAAAATTATCCCAGACAAACTTTGTTTTAGCAGAGTGATTGTATAGGTATGTTTTTGCATCATTAAGAATTGAAAATTTTAAATAAAGCCATCATAGTCTGAGGACTGCCTGTATTTATGTATGACTTTTGGAAAGCTGAGGGTTATTCAGTTCTATAGTTTTTGTCCTAATCAGACATGTTCAGCAAATAATGAAAAAAATCACCATACATAACTCCAGACAGCGGCTCTTGGAAGGCAGGGACATTGCTCTTGCTGCTTGTGGCTTCCACTCAGCAGCACAGTTCATCTGCACTCAGAGTTTACAGCAGGTGATAGGTTGGTTGTTGAGTGACTAATTCACATGTCCCTGGGAGGGAATGTCAAAGCTGCTTTCTGCTCAGATGTGCACTGTCCCTAAGCCACCCACATTCACTGTCAGTGAGTTACTTTCCTGCAGTTTGACTGCAGTGACGAGGGACGCTGCTGAGCCTCACCCTCTTCTCTGCCCCATAGTTGTTTTTCACTGCCTCTTCATCTAAACACTGACCTGCTCTGCCCCTCCTCTTGTGTTCTCCTCTTGTTCATTCTGCATCTGTCCTGGTGATGTGTTCTTCCTTTTCATGCAGATGACTCCTGCAGCTGAGCCTTGGACTCTATATCTGCTCACTGACTCTGAGGCCTTGTTCCACGGCTCAGTAGAGGAAAGAGCCCAGGCATTCTCATCAGTTTGGGTCTTTGCTGCTCATTTCGCTTCTCTGAGCATCATTTCATCCGTGTCAGTGGGACACAGTAACATATGCCCCCAAAACCCAGAGACAGGAATAATAATGATGATAGCACATACAAAATGCCCCCTGTGTAATGCAAACCTAAGAAACATTAAGTTCTTCATGTTTTTTCCCTTCTCCTTTCTTCTACCTTCCTTGCCTGTTCAGTCTTTTCTGCCCCATTGGCTTCTTCATTCCCAACTATAACTTTCCCACTGTTCCCTGACCCCGGCTTCCCAACTTCATTCACTCCTTCCTTCATTTGTCAAAGTTAGTGAGAACGACCTACACCCATCAGCTTTCTTTACTTACTTCCCTCTCAAAGCTTTAACTGCATGGCTCCACCCTTGGCTGCACACCAGCATCCCAGGAAGGGATGTTCAAAATATACTGCATCCGGGTATCACTTGGAGAGCTTCTAATTCAAGAGGTTCAGGGTGGAGACCGACGTCTCTTTTTCTAAAAAGGTGTGCAGGCAATTGCTTGAATCCTTTCCTTCCCTGGCTTTCTCCACTGCTGTGCAACTGCTCTCTAGACTGGGTCCTTCAGGTCTTTTCCCAGCCTTTGCTCCTCCTGCACTCCCTCCTACCCTTCTGTGTTTTTAGCTTTGGTGTTTTATGGTTTGTTTGCTTTTCCATAGCCCCTCTTCTTTCTTTTCCTTCTTGGATATAGACAGTTTTTTTCTTGGCCTTTAATTTTTCTCTTTAAAAGATGTTGTGTTTTAACAATAAAAATGTTCCCTCGAAGTCTCATGTGTTTTAGAGATTTTTTTTGGTGTGTTTTTTTGTTTGCTTGTTTTGTTTTGTTTGTTTTTCTCCAGTACTGGGAATTGAACTCACAACCTTGCTCTTGCCAGGCAGGCGCTGTGCCGCTGAGCTAAATCCCCAGACCTTGTTTTAGAGATGTTGATTGGACTTTGGGGGATCAAATCAGGGGACTGATCCATAGCTAAATGTGCTGTGAGAAGTGGGCCTGCTTATAGGACGTGAGTCACTGGGGAGTGTGACCTGAGGGTATAATTTTGACCTCCACTCTTCCTCCTCTTTCCTCCTCCTCCTTCTCCCTCTGCATCTCTTTCTCCTCTTCTTCTTTCTCAATCTCTCCTCTCTCCCCTCTTCTTTTTCTCTCTCCTCTTTTCTCCTGGTAGCCATGAGATGAGCAGATTTTCTCCACTCTGCTGTTTCTGCCTCACAACCGACTAACCTGGGACTGAACCCCTGAATCTATGAGCCAAATAAGCACCTTCTGCTTTAAATTGTGCAGGCTGGGTATTTTGTCCCAGTAAAATGAGAGGAAAGTGAACAATACATAAAATTGCCTTTCCTCTTAAAAAAGTGATAAATACTACAAATATCAAAATAAATTTAAAAAGTACCCCAAATCACAGCACTATACCTATATTATAAAGTAAAAAATAATCCAATTCATATATACTTTTTCTTGCATCTAATGCCATCTTCAGAGGAAACATCTTTAATATGTGGGTACACATCTATCTTTTTCATATGTATAAATTGTGATATGTCTATATGAACATACATATATTTCAGGACTCAAAATGCAATAATTTCTATGACTTGTGTTTTTAAAGTTTAATATAATGCATTCTAGGTTATTACCTAGAGATTTATTTCCAGTGGCTACATAGTTTATAATTTAGTTTTTCATTCTTCCCTTGTTAGATGCTTGGTAATGCCACCTTTTTATAGTCAAAATGCTGCCCTGGTTATCTTTGCATGTGTCTTGGATAATACTTAGAAATGACATGGTTGGTTCAAAGAAAATGACCATTAAAATTCAATAGATAGTTACCAAGTCAGTCTCCAAAAATGTAGCTGAAAGTTCTAAAGTCATTTAGAAATTTAGACTTTAGAAAGTTCTAAAGTCATTTAGAAAGTTCTGAGTCATTCAGTAAGACATGCAAGTTTCTCATATATGCTGCCAAATTTTATACTCAAATGCTTAGTAACATACACTTATGCTAGTTTCAAGTATAGACTAGACTTTGTCAATTAATCTTTCCAGTTGGATAAGTATATGCTGTGAGTTGTTCTAATTTAGTCTTGTGACTTTTTTCATTAGATTGAGTTCATGGGATTATTATAATTTGAGTTTTTTCCTTTATGCTATGACCATTCAATCCTAGTTCTACTTGTCTTTTGGGGTATTTGTCCTTTTTAAAGTTAATTTTAGAGTCTCTTATTAGACATATTAATACTATGAAGTGTACTATATACTTTTCTCAGTCATATTTCCCTGGATATTGCTTAAGGACTGTTCCACTGCATTAAGTTTTAAATTTTATCTCATTAAAGCTGTCCATGAAGTCTTCTGAAGTTTCTGTCTCCCTTCTGTGTATATATTACTGATAAGGATCTTTTTTTTTACTAATAGATCTTTAATTATTCTATGAATCATTTTAATTTTAACTAAAATAGAAAGTTGTAATTATTCTGGACATCATTCTGTTTCTTTGCATACCTACTGTGTGCCAAAAATACAGTTTTGATTATTATAACTTTAAAAATACTATATTCTGGTACTTATTAATGCAATCTCTTTCCTTGTAGAATTTTCATAGTAAATGCTACGTATTTACTTTTCATGAAATTTTAGGATTAATTTGTCCAATTGAAAAATTTCTTTGGCACTATTTAATCCTCATATATTAATTAGGGCACAGTTGATATTGTTACGGCATTCGTTCTTTCCAACCCGGATATATATGCCTCTATTTTAAAAGGCTTTGTTTTAAACGCTTCAAAATTATCCTCTGCCTTATAATGTCATTATAATCTTATTGCATACAATTTACTTAATCATTTTATAATGTGAACATTTAGGTTGTTCTGAAGTTTTTACCTTTATGAATAGTGTTACAGTAAATGTAGT